CTAGCAGTGGCACGCTCGCACACCAAAGAAAGCTGACTTGTCGACCAGTTTATGGTTCTCAAGGCAGTGGGGAACTTTGCCCTTCCATCACAGGAGTAAACGCAAAACGGGCAAACAGAACAATCTTCCACCCATCACATATGTGTAGATACAAATACACATATTTAATAGCTCATTACAGATAAGTAGGAAAACAAGAAAATTATTAAAATAATATTGGCCACTGAAACCTTAATATCAATATCAATGGTTTGAATAAAACATGTTTCAATCTTTTACATGTAAAAACAAACTCATCACTTAAGAAAATAGTTGTGAATTATATAAAATCCTTAAACTTAGAAAACTCTCAATCATTGTCTCATAAATCTGAAAACATGTATTAAAACTTTGACCAATAAGTACCAAAATAAAATCATCAGTTTTAGTTTAAAACATCTCTAAACTCAAATACTCTCCACCTAGGCGTACCCCCAATCAAAATCCGTCAATTCTAATAATACTATGTCAATTCCAAGTACCATATATGTTACATCCTCGTTGAACTCGGGGGACATGCACGCAGTCAGCTAGAGAACGCATTGTTAGATATATGCCCTAGAAGCCAATATAAAATGGATAATTCTAAGGAAATAATATATAATAGTAAAGAGGCAAGAACATTGCTTTTGATATATAAAGTACACAAAGTAACAAGTCCATGGATTAAGATATAAATGGAAAGTGGTTTAAAGAAGTTAGATGCACGAGACCTTTCCATGCATATAATATCGTATCCTAAAATGTTCTTGGCATAGAATCACCAATTGGACAATGGTGACCCGCAAAGACTGGTACACATTATGTCTGCTCAATTGGGAAGATGACTAGTCTCAAGTCATTCATGTAGAGACACTGAGATATATGTGTAGGTGCTCTATAGAAGATGAAGTCCACTGAACGTGATCAACTCTAGAATTCTTGTATGAAAGTCTTACTCACAAGTGTCAAACAAAGAATTCTAAGTTGTGATAATGCAAATTAATCCTTAAACCTGAGACATCATAGTTGTTTCTCTTTGAGAGCACTATATGGTCGTATCAAAATAATGTGACTTAAAGGTGTTCCTCAGGATTCTTAGCGTATACGCAGAGACAAATGAATGTACAACAAGGAATCTTTATTCTTAGTAAGAAGAGAGAACACTCTAAAAATATGATTCGTGAATTTTTGGCCAAAGTATTGGATGGAAATTGAAACAAAAACATTTGTAATTTCATCAAATTTCATCATATAATCAAGAGATGTCATATTAGGGATTTTGACACAAGTTTACCATATCCCGAGAATATGACATAGAGTATTGAATTAGAGAATGATCAAATTGCATTGTAATCACAAACTGAGTAGGTTCTCTAAATGAATTCTTTTTAGCTTGGGTAGCCATAACATACTACTAGGTGTCACTCATGACTTATGGAAGCCTTGTAAGGACTAATTATAATTAGCCTTTGCCAATAGGGAGAATTGTATGGAGGGATACAATTCACACTTGATTCAGAGTGAATCACTCATACCCACTGCCTCACTAATTAGAACCTATAAGATCACACACCGAAAAGGAATTGATTGGGAAATTATGAAGAAAATGAATGATTTTGTGACTCGGTCAAAGTCAATGTGAAAGTCAAAGGTCAAAGGTCAAACGGTTGACCCGACACTTGACATGGTCAATTAAAGATGACCGGGACCAACACACATTAGACAAGTGAGTGATTGAATTAGTCAAGTCACTAGAGTAATTAAATTGATTAAGATTAATTTAATTATTCAATTAAAGTTATGAAACTTTAATTAAAGGTCTCATATGACTTGGAAATTCAAAATGGATTTGACCATATGGACTTAGGCAAATATGTGACACATTATAGGATTAATGTGTTGGACCAAGATAGCAAAAGATGACACACAAAAGGAGGGGTGTGGCTACACTAGGGCTTGGGGGCATTTTTGTCACTTTTGTGACATTTTTGATCCTATAAGTGTGTAGTTATGGATTCCTATCATCTTAGGGTTTTTCAAGTTGGTGAAATTGGAAGAGAGAAAACATCAAGCTCTCTCTCCCTAACCCCTTGAATCTATTACGTACATCAAGTGAAGGTGCTAGCACCACTCTTCACTTGTTGTCTACTCATTCTCTCATCCTATTCAATCATTGATAAAGAGCTTTGGGGAGGTTCATATCTTTGTACCTATTTGGAGAGCTACAAGGTGGAGAATCAACATCAAAGGGAGAGCCAACAACAAAGGGACCACTCCATCTACTTAAACACCATTCTTAGTTTCAAGATTCGCTCCAAGGGTATGAACATCTTATCTTTCCCTCAAATAGGATTTAGAGAGTCTTTGGTGCACACTTTCATAGACTT